CCCCCCCAAATATTCGATGTTGAAACATTTTGATGTAATTCAAAAACTAGTCCCAAGCAAAGACCATTTTAACAACAAAAAGCACTATAAGTGTAAAAACGCGATCTTAAAACAAAAAAATCACCATTTTTTAAGTTTTCCAAAACCTATATGTCAGAAACTGGTTGCCATGGCAACATGATTAATCACATGGACATTGTAATTATACCAAAATGTTCCTAGATAAATTTTAGGAAAAGTCAGAAAATTTGAACGTCATAGCTCTTTCGGTGTAGGAGTTATCACGATTTTGCCGGAGGGGGGGTTCGAAAAGCCCCCCCCCCACCCCCCCAGTCTGAATAGGGTTAAGGTAATGATCTTGAACTCAAGAAGCTCTTGATTGTTAAACAAATTCTCCTTGTCAGCACTTCAAGAAATTTATAGAGAACAGTATGGAGACCTTGCATACTGATGTTAGGGTGTGAAGAGTTAAGCAGTTTGCTGGTTTTTCTTTCTCACTGGCTCTGTGTGATATTTACTTCTGAACTTGTGCGTCCGTTGCCCCTCACGAGATTTGTAGGTGTAAATCGCAGGCCAAACAGTTCAAAGGAGAGAAAAGAACTAACAGAAGAGTGCAGCCAGCCAATAGCTCTACCTTGCTATTTTATTTGTCAATTAAAAGGAACAGACACTACTTATCTGTACTGATCACTTCAATCAACTTAGACAACAGGGTTTTGTATTAATCGCATATTCAGCAACTAAAAATTTCTTCATGTAGTGCAGTAGGTATACAAACCATAGATATCTAGTCTGCAAGCACTTAAAAATCGTAAGCAAGGAGACGTTCTCGCTGTTGCCTTAGCTCTCTTGCTAATATGGAGGGTTTTAGCATCGATACAGGTGGGAATATCGTCAGTTGGGCTCTCGTTAAAAGTTTAACGGGCAGTATTCGGCGTGAAACGACTATTTTCCGTCAACAGCTGATCTCCTATGATTATTGTTCAAAAGTTTGGTAATTAATTCGACCCTTCTAGGAAAAAATTGCTACCGCTCGTCAACCAATCATTCAGATCGAAATTACTCGATATTCGTTGTACGACTTAATACATCAGTAGCAATTACTCCGCTGATTACTTAGTGAATTTCCAATCCACAAGTCGTAAATCATTCCTGAGACTACAGGCGTTTGCCTTATGCATAGGGCTTAGAGAAGAAGAACTGTCTTCCTTCAGATATCTAGCTCAGTAATGTTTAACGAGTTAAATATTCTTATTCGCCTCGGATAAACCGCGGTCCTAACTGAGTTGGTTATTTGTATTGGCGACCGTAAAGAGATTATAAAGATGTCATTTCTGGCGTTAGAGCTTGGTTTTGTTCCTATCTTCAAGACCGGCGAGCATTTGCAAAATGGGAACAACTGAATGCAAAGTGTGCCATGGTATGTCTTCATAACACTTTGAGAAGTCTGTGAACTTTCTTCAAAACATTTGTTGCTTTTTTTTTAAAAAAAAAAAAGAAATCATTTCATTTTCATAATGACGATGGAAACAATGTAATTCTCCATTTGTTCTTTCGATGGTTTGCCGTCAATTTATTGAATAATCTTCAGGCTATAGTCAGTCAGTCAATAAGTCAGTCAGTCATTCGGCCAATCATTCAGTTAATCAGTCAGTCATTCTTCAGTCAGTCATTCTTCGAGAGTCTGTCACTCCTTAAGTCAGTTGGTCAGTCCATCAGTCGTGCAGTCGATGAGTCAGTCAGTCAGCCAATGATTCAGAGTCATTATGTTGGTTCAAATGCCGTCAGTCCTCCTTTTCACTACCGCTTAAGTAGTGTTCATTACTGCAAAGATCGCTCTCGCATTCATTTCGTATCCTTTTGTCTCAAAAACAGGCTGAAAATCCAATCTTTAAGCCAACAACAACGACCTTTATGAATCCTATGTACGAAGTGAAAACCCCCCTGAAGTGACGAATGGCACAACAAAGTCTTCAATGAGAGCTTCTTGGGGAGGCACTTCTCAAGAAACCTCAGTGTAACTGGCGGACAGGTTGAACACAGGATTGGTCTGAGCAGCTGATACGAAAAATTTTAATAATAGAATCACACTAATGATTTGAAAACGTCATTTACTCTTTAAATCAAAATTTTTTAAACTCAATTCCAGTCAGTTCAGTAACGGTCATGCAACTCTCTCTGTCTACGATCCCTCTATCACAGAAACCCTTCTCTTTTGCAACCACTTTGCAAATATCCGACTCGTATCTGAATTAAATTCTTTTTCAAAACTTCTCCTCGAGGATGAATGCACGAGCTTCTTCAATCAATTTTTCGCTCTTTGTAAAGATTTTCTCAAGTCAAGTGACCTCCTCCCTGAAAAGGAACAGTTTTTTCTGCTCCAACGATGATCTCTTAGGAAAGAGTTCACTACAATTCGACACCGAACTAACTCAGTGTATATACAGCAAAATCTGTTTCTCTCAAGAACGGAGTTCAGAAGAAGGATAATTTCGGGTATATGTTTTGAAACTTAAACCTTCAACTACATGACTGCTGGCATCCAACTACCCCCGCCTCATATTCAACTGTTAACGTATCAGAACAGATTCTCAAGCAAGTTAAGAAAAGGAAAAAAACAAACGCTTCAAACGATCCAATCGCAGCTGATGAGTACAACAGCATATGGGTGACACGTGCTCAGTCGACCTCATCGTCTGAAGATGACTGGCAATATGCAGTCGAAACGTCGCGATCCACATCCCAAGTAGCCTGCGTAGCATGGCGGTTTTGTCGAGCCGGGCGCAGGAGCGGCGTAGCCGCGAAATTCGCGCGCGAAGCGCGCAAGAACGAGCGGCGAAGCCGCGAGAAAAATAAAAACCAAGTTGCTCCCGCCCCAATCTCCTTTCGGTTTCTCTGCCCTCGCCCTCCTTTATTACTTAGCGCGCCCGACCAAAACCGCCATGCTACGCAGGCTACATCCCAAGTGACCACATCGTAAGACAAACAATCACATTTCTCTTTTAAACAAACGCATGTAGCCATAATGATCAGCCCACCTAACGTTTGCATGATAAAGACTGGGTGATTTTCTAATTTAAACTCAAAAAATAATTCCCGTGATATAACTTAATAATAAAATCTTCGACTTGGCGATTCAGTGGATACAAATACGGTAAAATCTTGAAAGAGAAGCATATTTTTTTTCTGCGATACTCGTCCTGGTACGTCTTTTTTGTGTGTGAGAGTCAGTAAACGGAGAAACCAAATATATACGTCAAAATTCTTACTCGCCTACTAAAACTGTTGGGTCTTTCTTGTTAATGCTTTGTTTAAAACTATTTAAGCTTGATCTCTTACGGTCGACAGAGCTTAACTTTCCCCATAGAAAGGGTCCGAAAAAACGCAACGGGTGTTTACCGTAGTGTACTGTTCTCATTCGTCGAATCATTTCAAGTCTTAAGGACCTCAAAAAAGCGAAAATCATGGAGCTGTTTGACCTCTTTCGTTGGAAACAACTCATTCCGTAGCAACAAGTTAGACGTCTGGTAGTTTTACACTTATGGCTCTTTACGAGCCATTTTCTAAACGTTGTTTATTTACGTTGTTTGTTTATTTCTGCTGTTTATGATCACAAAATCAGGAAAGAAGATGAAACACCAACTTTTTTCTTAAATACTGACCAAAGAATACACAGTGACAGTTGCAAATTTTATCTATTTTTACGGTGATCAATAAGTTTCCTAATCAGGAAACCCCCCAAAAAAATGTTTTGTTTCGCCTTCAGTACATGTCTATATTGTCTATCACTTCAAAAACAAAAAAGATTACATTGATTGTATCAAGTTACAGAAACGAGTTGTCAGGTTGCATACTGTCACCAAAATTTTAGTTAACTGTAAAACTATTTTGGAAGTCTCTAATACGCTGTGTTGTGCGTGTCATACCTAAAAAATATAAATGTCCAGTTACTCATAAGACTTTTGATTTCTATTAGTTCCATAACTTCGCGTGATCAAACAGAAATCTGTTTTTTTTCCATTACCATTTGTTTCAAGGCTTCGTAGTCCACTCTCTTGTACCCATCGTGACCCGTAACCACGGTCCACGGATACATTTCCTCCACTTCCTGAGCGATGACCCCATGCCCTGTTCCACTCACGCCAAGGTCTACGGCATCTTTGGACCATACCCAGTTGTAGCTACGAACACCAATCTGCTCGAAATCTGAATGCGGTACGACTGTGATGTTTTCTTTCAGTCGAGAGTCGCTGATAAACCCAGCTAGGATCGCACCCCCAATAATAGCTTTTCCTATCTTTTCTTTCTTTTTCTTTCCCTTTCTCGATCTTCGAGCTGCAGCTTCTTCCAATTTTCTCCTCTCTTCTTCAGCCCTACGCAATTTTTCTTCTTGGATTCTTCGTTCTTCCTCTGCTTTCGCTCTTGCCCTTCTCCCTTCCTCTAATCTCTTTTCTTTCTCACGAGCTTCTCTGCGGCGCTGTTCCTCCCTTTCCCTTTCCATTTTCTCCTCTTCTTCTTTTCTCCTCCGTTCCTCATCAAGGCGTCTCTCTCTTTCTGCCATTTCTTTTAATAATAGAATCACACTAATGATTTGAAAACGTCATTTACTCTTTAAATCAAAATTTTTTAAACTCAATTCCAGTCAGTTCAGTAACGGTCATGCAACTCTCTCTGTCTACGATCCCTCTATCACAGAAACCCTTCTCTTTTGCAACCACTTTGCAAATATCCGACTAGTATCTGAATTAAATTCTTTTTCAAAACTTCTCCTCGAGGATGAAGGCACGAGCTTCTTCAATCAATTTTTCGCTCTTTGTAAAGATTTTCTCAAGTCAAGTGACCTCCTCCCTGAAAAGGAACAGTTTTTTCTGCTCCAACGATGATCTCTTAGGAAAGAGTTCACTGCAATTCGACACCGAACTAACTCAGTGTATATAGCAAAATCTGTTTCTCTCAAGAACGGAGTTCAGAAGAAGGATAATTTCGGGTATATGTTTTGAAACTTAAACCTTCAACTACATTACTGCTGGCATCCAACTACCCCGGCTCATATTCAACTGTTAACATATCAGAACAGATTCTCAAGCAAGTTAAGAAAAGGAAAAAAACAAACGCTTCAAACGATCCAATCGCAGCTGATGAGTACAACAGCATATGGGTGACACGTGCCCAGTCGACCTTATCGTCTGAAGATGACTGGCAGTATGAAGTCGAAACGTCGCGATCCACATCCCAAGTGACCACATCTCTTTCACATCGTAAGACAAACAATCACATTTCTCTTTTAAACAAACGCATGTAGCCATAATGATCAGCCCACCTAACGTTTGCATGATAAAGACTGGGTGATTTTCTAATTTAAACTCAAAAAAAAATTCCCGTGATATAACTTAATAATAAAGTCTTCGACTTGGTGATTCAGTGGATACAAATACGGTAAAATCTTGAAAGAGAAGCATATTTTTTTCTGCGATACTCGTCCTGGTACGTCTTTTTTGTGTGTGAGAGTCAGTAAACGGAGAAACCAAATATATACGTCGAAATTCTTACTCGCCTACTAAAACTGTTGGGTCTTTCTTGTTAATGCTTTGTTTAAAACTATTTAAGCTTGATCTCTTACGGTCGACAGAGCTTAACTTTCCCCATAGAAAGGGTCCGAAAAAACGCAACGAGTGTTTACCGTAGTGTACTGTTCTCATTCGTCGAATCATTTCAAGTCTTAAGGACCTCAAAAAAGCGAAAATCATGGAGCTGTTTGACCTCTTTCGTTGGAAACAACTCATTCCGTAGCAACAAGTTAGACGTCTGGTAGTTTTACACTTATAGCTCTGTACGAGCCATTTTCTAAACGTTGTTTATTTACGTTGTTTGTTTATTTCTGCTGTTTATGATCACAAAATCAGGAAAGAAGATGAAACACCAACTTTTTTCTTAAATACTGACCAAAGAATACACAGTGACAGTTGCAAATTTTATCTATTTTTACGGTGATCAATAAGTTTCCTAATCAGGAAACCCCCCAAAAAAATGTTTTGTTTCGCCTTCAGTACATGTCTATATTGTCTATCACTTCAAAAACAAAAAAGATTACATTGATTGTATCAAGTTACAGAAACGAGTTGTCAGGTTGCATACTGTCACCAAAATTTTAGTTAACTGTAAAACTATTTTGGAAGTCTCTAATACGCTGTGTTGTGCGTGTCATACCTAAAAAATATAAATGTTCAGTTACTCATAAGACTTTTGATTTCTATTAGTTCCATAACTTCGCGTGATCAAACAGAAATCTGTTTTTTTCCCATTACCATTTGTTTCAAGGCTTCGTAGTCCACTCTCTTGTACCCATCGTGACCCGTAACCACGGTCCACGGATACATTTCCTCCACTTCCTGAGCGATGACCCCATGCCCTGTTCCACTCACGCCAAGGTCTACGGCATCTTTGGACCATACCCAGTTGTAGCTACGAACACCAATCTGCTCGAAATCTGAATGCGGTACGACTGTGATGTTTTCTTTCAGTCGAGAGTCGCTGATAAACCCAGCTAGGATCGCACCCCCAATAATAGCTTTTCCTATCTTTTCTTTCTTTTTCTTTCCCTTTCTCGATCTTCGAGCTGCAGCTTCTTCCAACTTTCTCCTCTCTTCTTCAGCCCTACGCAATTTTTCTTCTTGGATTCTTCGTTCTTCCTCTGCTTTCGCTCTTGCCCTTCTCCCTTCCTCTAATCTCTTTTCTTTCTCACGAGCTTCTCTGCGGCGCTGTTCCTCCCTTTCCCTTTCCATTTTCTCCTCTTCTTCTTTTCTCCTCCGTTCCTCATCAAGGCGTCTCTCTCTTTCTGCCATTTCTTCTTTTTGGGCTATAACTTCATCTAGTTTATCTGTGATTTTCGTTCTTTCCGTTCCCAGAGCACATTTTTCGGCGAACTCATCGATAATTTGCTGTCTCCTATTCTTCACGTGATTCAAATTATTTCTCAGAAAAGGTTCAATTATGTTTTGGTAAGAACGGTCGCACAATTCCGTTTCGAGGGCGGTATATGCATTTGAAAATCCACTCCATGAATTTTGATTGAGAGCAATCTCAAGCCTTTTAGCGAAAGAAGCGATCATTGCTCCGTCCATGTTTGCTCCATGAATTGTCTTTTTTAAAGGAAAGCTTCTTAAATCAGAGGCTAGAGAGGATGCGACATTTGCGTAATCATCACTCGGAAATTTTTCTAAGTTACGCAGTCGTTTCGAGTCCACGAAGGGAATGTCTCGAACCTTAATGTTAATTCGAGGAAAGTGCTTTGCAATGGTTTTTCCGTAATTTCCATCAAGTATAGAATCTTGAACTTGGCTCTGCAAAGTTTCACCTTGGGATGGTGCAAGTGCATTTCTTATGATCACCAGTAGTTGTGGAAACGCCTTGATGCTCTCTGCATCATCTTTCCAAATCTGTTCGCTCAAGCGCGAAACACGGTACAAAAACTGCACATTATGATTTTGTACTCCTTCCCTGGCAAAGAGAGCCAAACCGGAAGACATCATCATGGTGAAGATGCTGAGCAAATCTGTGTTTTCGTTGTCGCCTAAGTTAGTTCCTTCCGTGTCGAGTAAAATCGTGCTTCCTTCGCCATTTGAATCACGCGACACAGACATCCACACTCCCGTCGTACATGGTCTCATGCCATCGCTCGTGTTAAAAACTTTCTCAACTCTTTGATTTCGCTGTCCTTCAAGGAAATACCTGATAAAGTTCAAATTCGTGGACTTACCAACGCGTGCGTCGCCAATGGCTCCAACAATTCTCACGGGCCCTTTCAATGTTTGTATCTCGCGCAGAGCGTCCTCGCTGACGCTGAACTTGCCATTTTCCTCGTCGAACCTCAATAGTGGTTTTGCTGGTGAACTGCAACAGGTTTTGCTCAAAAGAGAGACAAATATTAAAAGAACCAGTAACTTCAAGATCATTTCGACGGAAACAACTTCTAATTTCGAAGACGTGACAGTTTCAATGGGTCCAGCGACCAATGACTCGCACCAAATTACAGGTACGACGAGTCTGATATTTTGTAATTATCATGAGGGAAATTTATATGCGCTTCTGCATTAATGTACTTTGCCCCAGTGTTTCTGTTTCTCTTCTAATTTTACTTAATGATGAGTCAATTATCTGGGAAAAACCCCCCAACATTTCCCTTTATTTCGCCGCATCAATGTGCACCAAAGCACAAAGCATACACCGAAAGTGACTGATTTGAAAGGAAAACTTCGGTAACAGAACTCTGGGAGACTCAAATCACTGCGAGATCCCTTGATTTTGCGAGTAAGAGTATGGAAAGCTTTCCATTTTCATAAAGATATTTCATTTAACTTTAGAGCTAACTTCTACTCCATACGGAATAAGAATAATACATTAATTTTAAATTTATCATCAGTTTTTAACCCTACGGCTACCTTATGGTCTGTGGGGTGAAAGGGGGTTCCCCTAACGATTCTGGTTCATTCTCTGCTAAGAGCGCTTTGTTTTGTAGAAATCTGTTTCGCCTCAAGACAAAGTTCTACTTTCTCTATTGCTAAAAGTGATCGAAAATATGAAGAAATAACCTGTGCAGTGTATCGTGAGGTTATTAGAAATAACAGATCTTTACTAACTTCGACATGACAGAAAAAGATGTAACAGTCTAATTAACATAACATTCTTTATTCATTCTCTGCTAAGAGCTCTTTGTTTTGTAGAAATCTGTTTCGACTCAAGACGAAGTTTTATTTTCTCTATTGCTAAAAGTGATCGAAAATATTAAGAAATGAGGTGCAGTGTATCGTGAAGTTATTAGAAATAATAGATCTTTACTAACTTCGACATGACAGAAAAAGATGTTTAAAATTCAATTTCCGGGAAAATGAAGCGAAGTCAAGACAACCAATTACAATGTGCCAGCTTGACTAGGTTCTTAGAGAGGGAAAAATCCCACGGTCATCATCACGTGGAAAAAGCCCTATGCTCTCATGCGCGTTGAATATATTTAGAGAAGTTTCCGTTCAGTCCATTTCGCTTCGGTAGTGAGATGGACTTAGGTAAATGTTGCGCTGTCGTAGCATTTCTTGCCGCGCTTTATTTCCCTTCAATTACTCAACAAAAACCGGCTCGAATCCTCATCAAATACGACAAAACAGAAGATATATTCGAGTTGAACAAAGCTGTTCTGGAAGACCTGTGGCAGTTGCAACGACCGATTCGCGTCATAGCTGTTGTGGGAGATGCTAGAATTGGAAAATCTACCACTCTCAACGTAATAAGTCACATATGGTCCGAAGTCAATCACAGCCATGTCGCAGAAATCTTCAAAACAGGCGATACACTGAAAGCTGTCACGCGTGACGTGTGGTGCAACATCATCCATCCACAAGACAAGAAAGGAGGAAGCGTTGTGCTACTTGACGTTGAAGGCACAAATTTGGGCGATGACGCCGTTACAACTCATTTGAGCATGTTTACAGCCATGGTTTCCTCTGGCCTGAACGTTTTTGTCCGCGAGGTGTTTCAAAACAACAATCTACACTTTTTGTTCCACATGTCACGCTTAAGTGATCAGATTTTTCCTAACATTACTATCGAAAACTTTCCCAAACTTCAGGTGGTTATTAGAGGTGCACTGGGTGATCCTGACGGGGGCAAAACGATCGAAGATTACACAAAGGATTGCATCGTGGAACCTTCCTTCCAGGAGAGCATGAAAGAAGAGAGAAAAGCCATCGCAAAGCACTTCCCGAGGAACCAAATTACAGTAAGTCAGATTCCGCAAGTGGAACGTGATCTTTTCAAAGATTTCAATAAATTACGGAAGAGTGACTACTGGCAAGAAATGAAGCGACTGGTTGAAAAACTCAAAACGTTTCCCAT